AGAATTGCCTATCCAGAGCAATACCAAACTGAGTAAGACTCGGAGTCCGAGTACCGATGCCGAAATAGCAGAAATGAGTCGAGTACCATATGCTTCTGCCGTTGGCTCGATCATGTATGCTATGACATGTACTCGCCATGATGTGGCTTTTGCTTTGAGTATGGTTAGTCGATATCAAGGCAATCCTGGTAGAACTCACTAGATAGCAGTAAAGAACATTCTTAAGTACCTGTGGAGGACTAAGGACTGGGTCCTTACCCTCGGTGGGAGTGATGACTTGAGAGTGACAGGGTATAGTGACACCAACTTTCAGACCGACAGATATAATTTATGCTCTCAGTCGGGCTGGGTATTTACCCTAAATAGAGGAGCAGTAACATGGAAAAGTTCCAAACAGGAGACTGTAGCTAATTCAACGTGCGAATCAGAGTACATAGCAGCAAGCGAAGCGTCGAATGAGACAATATGGCTAAAGAACTTCATCGGAGACCTTGGAGTTGTACCAACAGTAAAGGAGCCTATGGAGATTTTCTGTGACAACGAGGGTGCGGTCGCCTTAACCAAGGAACCAAGGGATCATGGCAGATCCATGCACATCGACAGAAAATATCACTTCATAAGACATCGAGTAGAAGAGGGACTCCTCGTAGTGAAGAGGGTATCGTCAGAGGATAACCCAACAGATCCCTTTACGAAGGGACTGAGTAGGATTAAGCATTTGCAGCATTCTAAGAGCATTGACCTAAGGGACGATATTAGTTTTAGTGATTAGATAGGCAGTTAGAAACTTGTAATAAATAAATGCAATTGACATTTAATGATTAAATAATAAGAGTTTTATTTATAAGTAAAGTTTACTGTCTTTTGTCAATTGTTTATTTTATGTTTCACTTTTTGCATGTTTTGACTTCCAGAATAATATGATTATTCGAACTATCCACAGTCAATCATACTTTGGAAGTAGGTTATGAAGTTAGACTGTCATGAATCGGCTTGTAAATTGTCTAAAGTGTTTAGATATAGCAAAAGTTTGCTACAACGTTCATGAGTGCTCCTGAAATAAGATTTGAGTATTGGATTAAACCCACGCTCACATGAATCACTTCATGGAATTTATCACGAGTGATTGTGATATGATAATATCGTATAGTCTTCAAACCAAGATCTATGAGTTGTTGATTACGAGTTGGTTGTGCATTGATAGTACGAAAACGCATCAGTAACTTGATGTTATAAAACGTGTTGTTGTGTATAATTTAACAAGTAATTAGTACAAACATATAAGTCGAAGTTTATCTATTCCTTTTATCCTAAGAGGATTAAAAGCGATATCATGGGCCCCTCGATGATTTTGTTTTGACTTATGTGTCGGGCCCAGTTAGGACTCAATTGATGTGTTCAATTAAGTTCTATGTCAAACAAATCAGGAATCGGGAAACAAACTGTTGGACAATGAGTATGACTTTATTCCATGTCTTTATCCACACGATATCTTGAAGAACAGAGGATTATATGATCCCTTATCTAAAGGACGAGTTATTGACTAGATCAAAGTTGGAAATCGGCTTTTGAGAGCTACTAATGCTGATCGGATTTTGAAGTTGCATTGACAGTTAGAGTTATTAGACTTATCCACGTGGGAGACTGTTGGATTAGATGTCTAAGCCCATAACTATAATTGGTATGCACTTGACCCGATAGTAGCATGGTCCTTTTGGGTTGCCTTCACCAAAGCAATTTGATAGGATGAATATTTGAGAAAGAGGTTATTTGTGATTTATTAATATATTATAAAAATAATATATTAATTGAGAAATCATATTATTTAATTGGTATTGATCAGGAATTAATTTGGAATTAATTCAGTGATCAAAAGAGACTGATTAAGTTAACGGGGACTGATTAGGTAAATCAGTAATACATATAGTTTGGGCTAATGATCCATGTTGATTAGGGATGGACTAAATCTATGTGAGAGTCCATGAAGATTTAGTCCAAAGGGCCTATCAAATGAGTTATTGGATTGCTTAAAGGCCTAAGTAAATGAATTAGGGTTTACAAGTTAAAACCCTAGGAATTCCACACTATAAATGTAACCCCTAGCACTCCCAAAATCATCCAAGACTTCCAAGAAGAAACCCTAGCCGATTTTTGGTGCCTCCTAGCCTCTCTCTCTCATAATCCTCCATTGTTCTTGGTGGTTGTGACTTATTTGAGGTATCACATTTGAGGTACTAAGCTCTTGAAAGGCCAAGTTCTACAAGCTACAACAAAGAGGTATTCATCTAACTTGTTTTATGTTGTAAATCTCAAAATTGTATGCTAGTTAGGGTTCATGCTTTGGATAAAAGAAAATTGCATGTATAACTTGAGAAAACTTAGATCCAAAGCATTAGGGTTGTATGTGCACCATAGGATTTTTATAGTGCTCAAAACCCATCAGAGGTAACATCTAAACCCTAATCACTTGTGAATTTCAAAATTGTATGCTAGTTTTAGGGTTCTATGCTTTGGTATTTAAGTTGCATGTTCAATAGAGAAAAACTTAGATCCAAAGCATTAGGGTTGCATGTACACCATAGGATTGTTGTAGTGTACATAAACCATCATTAATGGCTTAAGATATCAAGTCCAAACTTCAGATCCATAGCTAATAGAACGTCTAAAGCCATAAAGTTGCAGACTTTATGGCCATGTTGGTTACAATGAGTCAAAAAGCTAAAACTCAAACTCCTTAACCCATTAAAACACCTCAAAACTTGCATGGAGTGAAAAGAAGGTCCAAGATTACACTTTTAGCACTTAGGTCCCGTTTGATAGTTTCTGTCTGGGAAAGTGCTGTCTGGTAAAGTGTTGTCTGGGAAAGTTTTCTGACTGGGAAAGAAACCATGCTGTTTGATTGTACATCTGATTGACTGTGCTGAATGATGAAAAAAAGTAATAATTCAATAAAAAAATATAATTAAAAAAAGTTATTTAAAAAAATTAATAATCCAATAAAGAAAGAAAGAGGCGGGGTTTGGTGTATAATTGTCTTTCCAGCCCATTCAGCCAGAAAGATATGATTTTGGGGCTTTCTGGGAAAGACATATCTTACCGGGAAAGACCCCTTCTTTTGTGCAAATCAAACAGTCTTTCCGGTCCATTCAGCCAGAAAGATCTGTTTGGACCTGGAAAAATGCGTATCAAACGGGGCCTTAATCTACCCTAAAACGTCCAAAAGGACAACTCCTTTGGTCTAAGGTAGCTCCTACCCAAAAGACCAAGAAAATGGGGCTAATAAGCATAAACTTCTAACATAAACAAGATCTAGAGATATGATGATCAAGTTCAGAACTTTATACCACAAAATGATGCTCCAAGATGCCAAGAGTCCAGATCCACAAGCTAGAGAGCAACCACAATATTCCAAAGATCTTCCTTCTCTTATCAAGAACACTAAATGATACCAAAAAGATGAACCACGACTTCAAACTCTCATACACACTTATGGTTTTCGAAATGAGGTTGGAGGCTGGAGTGGTGAAGGGTTTTGAAGCCATAATATTCTTTAAATAGGGTGCAAACCCTAAAAATTAGGGTTGGTCTCTACGTGCAAACGCCTGGCATCCATCATAGAACACCTGGCGTTTGAACATCGAGCGTTCTATACCAAACGCTTGGCGTTTGGACCAAAGAACCCAAAATGGAAACCACGGTGTTACAATTTTTTTTTCTAGATTGACTTCAATATCGCATGAGTGGTGAAACTGGGGGTGAGAATAAGGAATCGACGATCGTAATGGCTGTGGAGAGTGAAGGTCGGGAGGTGAAATTGAAAATTGAAAATATGTATGAATCATTATGGTTGATTGGTCGATAGAGTTATGACTATGAGTTGTTAAAAGTGAAAACCATAAATTTATAAAAGGAATAAAATGTATTTTATTTTATATTGATTATTTAATATTTTATTTAATATTATTACTTAATATGTAGAATATAAAATATGTTTTTAATTAAATTAATTAATTAACACAATTCGGTTTTTTCGGTTCGGTTTAGTCTAAACTTCACGAGACCAAAACTCAAACAAAAAACCAAATTCAAAATTCGGTTTGGTCTCGGACCAAACCAAAAACCAAATTTGAATATGGTTTGGTCTGAATCGATTTGATTATCATATTTTTTGGTTTCAAACCGAATAATTATCACCCCTATTGGAGGCATTCATTGACATGCATTTTTCGGGGTAATCATTGGGTGAATATAGTACGATGAGTTTGAATCAAAGGACAGATTAAATAAGGTTTCAACATCGCCGTTGTCTTTAGGGTTCATAATGTCATCGACGGTATAAAATTTACAAATTAAATGACCATGCTAATATCATAGAATAAAAGTAAGATATCAAAGTTTATCGGAAACGATTTTTGGTCAATACTTTGATTCTATTATGTCATGAAGAGGTGTTTGGATACACATGCACAAATTCAATAACAATAAAAAGGATAACAATATAACTAGAGATAAACATGAATAACGGATAAGTATTATCGTTTCCATTATGTATTATACAGTTCACAACTTTTATAGAATTGCAAAGATGTAATTATGTTTCAATTTACAATTAATATTTTAGGAAAAATAATAATACCAATAGACGATACTAAAAAAACTTCTTTTTAGACAATAAGAAAAATTCTCTTTAATTATTATAGTGTACAATTAGTTATTTTTTATTACAGTATTATATTTTAAAAATTCTCTATAACTATAAAATTGAAAATTACGGTTAAACATTTTCTTTTAAGCCATAACGTTATAATAAAAATATAAAGTTAAAATAAATAATTCAAATTGCGTTCCTATTTTGCATTTAATGCTAACATTTTTATAAAAAGGTCAATGTGTTACCATTTACCGAATCATGGAGGGCTGTTTATAATATATAGAGATAGTTGTGGGGCTTTTTAGTCCACTGCCGAAATAAGTGAAAGAACGCTGAAGCCGCCAAGACGATGACCGGATTAACCGGTCAACGCATTGAAGAAAAAGGTGAAAAGGGAAAAAACGGTCGGCTTCCTTCTTTGGTATAAACACAAGAAAAATGGATTAGGGTTTTCGTCAGGTCAAATCGAAGGATTGCAGAAGTAGAGAAGGGAGAGCGATCTTAAAATTACGTGTTTCTCTCTCTTCATCGACCTAATTTGAAAGCTTGATTTGAAGGCTATCCATCTAATTTCTCTTCAAATCGAGGACTTTTTGGTTCTGGTGAGTATACTTCCGATTAGATTTATGTTATTTTTGCATTTCGTGTTATATATGTTGGATTTTAACGGAATCCAATAATCCAATAGTTCCCGTTTCATAGTCTTTGTCGATTGGAACATCAAATCGTTGATTTAGCACTAGACGTGTGTAGAAGGTAGTGTTTGGAAGCTTAGGATCCTGAGGTTTATGAATTGCGGTGTGATGAAATTGAAAATGAAGAAGTTCTCTGAGTTTCAAAAGTCAACTGTTTTGCTCGAATTACGATTCTAAGACATTTTTAAGATTTCGAAGATGATATATATGAAATTTACGCGTTTATGAAGATCGAAATTGGGTGCCTGCTATATCTAGATTTCCATTTTTGGTATTTGGATATCACCGGAAAGATTTTGGGCCTTTTTACAAATTTATTTTACGGTTTATAAGGGCACATGAGAAAAATCTCTCTACTTCCTTGATGATACGGATACCCCTTTTTCCCTGAACATTTTAGAGACTCAAATAACTGTTCGTTTGTTCTTGAATCATACTGTATGCAAATGTTTGACCTATCATCTTCAATTACAGTCATGATGATTCTTTCTGAATATTAAACTAAATCTCCATATGTGTTTGTTAATCACTTCAGTAATCAATGTTGCCGCCACGTCAGCAACCAAAGTCCGGGGTCCTCCACACATCTCTAACTCTCGTTCCAGGTGAAGCATGTGGATCTCCCAACATTCAAGAACGTGGCTCAAATTCAGACCAAATCCGTGATTCACCAACCGAAAGTGCAAGTTCCCGTGAAACCTGGCCCACACCCGACCCATTAACAGTATCCAAACCACCAGAAAACGAACATTCTGTCATCCGCCATATAACTGACAAAATGTCTCTTAGAGACATTTCAAGAGAAAGAGTCGATATAATCGCAGAAAGAATGCATCATCTTCCCAACGAGTATTTAGACAAGCTAAAAAACGAACTCCGTGGTCTTATCGAAGGAATGGGTGGTCATCAACATAGAGAAGAATACATTTTTCTTCAAAAAATGGTTTTGAGTCGTGGTGATTTGACCGAAAAGACCCTGGTTATAGCTCACCGAGGGCAGTTAGAAATCTTGGTTGCTATAAAAACTGGAATCCAAGCTTTCCTTCATCCAACTGTTAGTCTATCTCAAGCTTCTTTAATTGAAATCTTTTTATACAAAAGATGTAGAAACATCGCGTGTGGAAACCAGATCCCTGCTGATAACTGCACGTGTGAGATTTGTGTAAAAAGAAACGGTTTCTGTAATCTTTGCATGTGTGTGATCTGTAGCAAGTTTGATTTTGAGGTGAATACGTGTCGTTGGATAGGGTGTGATGTGTGTTCTCATTGGACACATACGGATTGTGCAATACATAATGCACAAATTGGGAATGGTGGGAGTTTGGGGGAGATGGTTTTCAGGTGTAGGGCGTGTATGAGGACATCTGAATTGTTTGGATGGGTGAAAGATGTATTTCATCATTGTGCTCCTTTGTGGGATCGAGAGGCTTTGGTTAGAGAACTTGAATATGTGAGTAGGATTTTTCGGGGGAGTGAAGAAGTTAGAGGGAGGAAATTGTATTGGAAGTGTGGAGAACTTGTCGAAAAGTTGAAAACTGGGGTAGCAGAACCTGTGGCTTCAAAGGCTATACTCTCCTTTTTCCAAGGTAATAAAATATTCTCTATCAAATTGTTCTTTTTGTCCTGTTGAAATATTTAATTAGTTAATTTGATTGAAGTTTTCATTTTATAAGGTCAAATATCATAATTCGGCAATTATCCATGAAAAATAACTAGTCTGATATGGGATAAGAGATCATTCTTCATGGTCAGATATCATAATTCGGTAATAATACGTCAGAAAAACTTAGAAATATAGAGAAAGGAGAAAATAATAATAGTTATAATTATAATAATTATAAAATCAATATTGAAGTTTAATGGTATAGTCGGGATGGAATATAGTTTAATTGCTTTGTATTTGGATGATATTGCTATAATTGGGTTTATCTTTTATAATAGGAAAAAACGAAAATAGGCTGCTGTAATAAAAATATCAATGAAAGTACATTGCAATTCTTGTATTTTACCCTAAAATGGATTAAAAGTAGGATGCCATAACAAACAAAAAAATGAAAGTATGTTGCTATTACATTTTTCCCTCCTTTTAAACACTTGATAATGTTAAGGTTCTGTTAACACAATTAACGCAATGTCATCCAAATACAAACGAAAATTTCATCATAGATTCTTCAAAGTGTAATGTCCTAGTTGAAAGTACAATGCTATATTTGGGTAGAATATTGAAGTACAATGTCTAAATAATAGGAAAAACTTAAAATAGGAAATGAAAGTACATTGCCATTTATTGCAGAGTTTGACATAGACCCCCGAAAACATGAAGAAAGTGGTGGGGTAATGGCCCCACAAGAAGCATTCAACCGAATAGCAGACGTGGTCCAAGAAGCCATTAAGAAAATGGAAATGGTGGAAGAAGAAAAAGTGCGTATGACAAAAAAAGCGCGTTTAGCACTGGAGGCATGCGATCAAGAACTGAAAGACAAAGCGCGAGAAGTAGCCGCCTTAAAAATGGAAAGACAAAAAAAGAAGCAACAAGTGGAGGAGCTCGAAAGCATCGTCAGACTCAAACAGGCCGAGGCCGAGATGTTTGACCTTAAAGCCGCCGAGGCCCGCCGCGAAGCCGACCGCCTGCAACGGATCGCGCTTGCAAAAGTTGAAAAATCGGAGGATGATTACGCTAGCAGGTATTTGAAACAGAGGTTACATGAGGCTGAAGCTGAAAAACAGTATTTATTTGAGAAGATGAAGTTGGCAGAAACTTCATCCAGAGGTGGCGGCAGTAGTGGCAGCGGTGGTGGTGGTGGTGGCGGCGGCGGCGGTGTTGGTGGTGGTGGTGAGCCGTCTCAGATGATGATGTATAATAAGATTCAGGATTTGCTCAAGAACATGTACACTGCGCCGACAAAAGGAGACGGGCAAGCGAGTGATATACGCTCACGTGGGTCCGTTTGATTTGGTTATTTTATTTTATTTTTTTGGGGATGATTTGGATTTTTTTATTTTTTTTTGTTATGTTATGTTGTTTATAATTGTAGTTCAAAGTTGTAGTAACTTAACTTTATACCGGATAAGGTAGAGTATGATGACCTTGTACTGTGTTTGGCATGCATTGGACTCGGATTGAGATTGAGATTGGGATTTGAGATTGGGATTGGGATTGATAATGATGGTAGTGGGATAAAACTTGTGATCTTTGTAATGCCCTTCTTATAAATTTCATTAAACATAACCATAAAATGTTTGTGTATGTTACTATTAAAAGAAAGGGGACGAGTCTCTTGTAGTTTTTGTAACGCGCTTTATAATTTTTATTTGGTCCACAAAATTATTTGTCAAAAAGCAACATATTTTGCTTTGAAAGTAATACAATATTCATTTTATTGATGTAACTAGGTGTAAGATTAATGTATTACATGGGTTCATTTAAAAAAATAATGAAATTCAAAACATTTGTGAATTTGAATCTATAAGAAAAATAAAAAGAATATATATTGAATTAATAAAATTAAAGTGTTTTTTTTAATTTAAACAAACAATTTAAATAAATAAACAAATAAAAATAATGAGGTTTTAATTTAGAAATTTTAAAAATAAAAGGAAAGCCAGTTAATTAAATTGATATGCAATTATTATTATATTTAAATATTATGTGAAATTTAACAAAATGAAAAAAAAAAATCATAAAATAACATAGGATAAATAGCACAAAAGACACCAAGATTATATCAAAATTCTAATATTACACTGTGTTTTTTTTCTTCTCAAATTTGACACTGTGTTTTCCAATTTTTTACAATTCTGACCACTTGACCGGTCAACTCGATTACCTGCTGGCGTTAGGGGTGAGCAAAAACCGCACCGCAACTAAAATTAACCGCATAAACCGTAACCGTAATAAAAACCGATGGTGGGGTTTTCTGTTTTTTCAAAAACCGCAAATTTGCGGTGCGGTGCAGTTATTAGTTTTGAAAAACCGCACCGCACTGCATATATTATATACAATTTTTTTTATTAATTATTAATATATTAAATATTAAAAATAAGACAAGTTTCATGGATGAAAGATGGATAAAATACTAGAAGACAAAAGTGTTGGTTTTTTGTTATGTTTAACTTTGAAAAATGGTGAAATTAGACAATTTTAAGATATTTATTGTTAATTGCTAATGATTTAACGTTTTTAAGATATTAGTTGTTTGTGATTTAAGTTAATTGTCTTATACCTTATGTTTTTTTATCATTACAAGTAATATGTTTGAACTCTTAAAACTGTGGTTAAAAACCACACAAAAATAACCGCACCAAATTTATGCGGTTAATAACCGCAACCAAAAAAAAAAAACAAAACCGCACCGCAAAAATAACCGCCTAACTGCACCGTAAAAATAACCGCACCAAACGGTTTTGAAAATTGATTAACCGCATTTGCGGTTAGTGGTGAGGTTTTGGCTAATAACCGCACCGCGCTCACCCCTAGCTGACGTGACATGATGACGTGTCATTTTTGAAGATGTGGCATGCTGACATGACATGCTGACGTATCAAAATTAATTTTTTTCCAATAAAAGACACTAAGTTTTCATTTTTTTTCGATTTTGAAACTAAATTTAATTTTTTCTTTCCATTTTGACATTCTGTTTTTTTTGTTCCAAATCGAACATTATTTTTTCCAATTTTGTTTAATGTTGACATTTTTTCCATTTGAAACCGTATACATATTTTTTAATACATTTTAAACCGTATAGATATATTTTTTTCATTTAAAAACCATATTTTTGTATAAATATAAGGTTATTTTACATTCAAACCATAATTTATTTATAAATATGTATTAGTTATATAAAATTTGTATTTTATATTAAATACACAACTTTAAAATGAGTTTTGAGGTGTGTAGTCGATCAAGACACAGATGTCCCGTGAAATTTTTGCATCTTATTTGAAGCTTATGGTTAGTTTGGTTCTCATAATATAACTATAATGCATATTTATGCATAACATTATGTTGTGAATGTAAAAAACCTTTTAATTATATAAAATTATGGTTTTTAAACAAAAAAATATATATATTTATAAGGTTTAAAATGTAATAAAAAGGTATATTTATACGGTTTCAAATGGAAAATGGTCAACATTGAACAAAATTAGAAAAAATGATGTCCGATTTGGAACAAAAAAATAGAGTGTCAAAATTGAAAGAAAAAATTAAACTTAGTGTCAAAAACGAAAAAAGTGAAAACTTAGTGTCTTTTGTGGGAAAAAATTCAATTAGACATGTCAGCATGTCACGTTACCAAAACTGACATGTCATCATGTCATGTCAGCAGGTAACCGAGTTGACCGGTTAAGTAGTCAGAATTGTAAAAAATTGGAAAACACTGTCAAATTTGAGACAAAAAACGCAGTGTCAAATTAGAATTTTAATGTAACTTAATGTCTTTTGTGCTATTTACCCAATAACATATGAAAAAAAACTAATTTAAAATAATTGGCAAAATGAATGAGAGTATAACATGTGACAAACAAAATATTTATTTATTAGATTAGCTAGGTGTAAGACTCATGTATTACATAGGTTCATTTAAAAGAAAAATTAAATATAAATTCTAAACATTTGAGAAGTTTGATTTTTTATAAGAAAAATTAAAAAATATTGAATTATTACAATTAAAGTGTTTTTTTTTCTTTGTTAAATTTAAACAAATAATTTAGATAAATAAACAAAGGATACTAATGAGGCTTTAATTTAGAAAAATTGAAATTAGAAGGAAAGTCAATTAATGAAATTGATTGTAACATCCCGAAATTTCAGAAGTTCAATGAAGGGCCAAAAGTGTAAATAAAAGAAGGGACTCAACGAGTAGGTCTGCTTACTCGCCGAGTCGGAGCGGGATTCTGTCGCGGTTTAAGTTGCCAACTCGCCGAGTCGGCGGCTTGGACTCGACGAGTTGGTGCTGTAGAGAGAAAACCCTAATCCCGGGGGTTGTGCCCTATATAAAGAACATTATAACCCACCCTTAGCCTCTTTACTACCCTTTTTTGAGATCCAGAAACCCTAAAATCGAGTGAGCCTCCATTATTAGAGAGAATAGAGCTTTGGAGGAGGAAATCTTGGAAAGAGGCTTGAAGATCAAGAGGCTTGCTGCAAAGGAGTGGTGTAGATCCGGGATCTACTTCAGTTGGAGCTTATATTGGAGGTAATAATATGTTGCTTGGGCTCTTTTGCATCTAGATCTTTTATCATTTGAGATTTGGGGCATTTTTGGTATGATTGAGAGCTATTTCGAGTTAGAGGCTTAGATCTGAGGTTGCTACCTCAGATCTAGGCTTGTGATGGTCCAAAATGTCATAAAGCTCCTGTCTAAGAGATATTGGTGAAGCCCCCTAGTCCTTAACCTTAGCCCTAGAGTGTTTTGGGCCTATATCTCCTTGGTTTCACGTAAAGTTTGCCACTTTATGTGAGGGTTAGACTGTAAAAGAGTGGATCTATGGATTGGAGCCCCTGCATGGTTCGAAAAGCCACTGTATGGATTGAGAACTGGAGAGACTCGGCGAGTCACATGGGTATACTCGACGAGTTGTATGAACATGTGCATGGACTCGGCGAGTTGGAAGAACAACTCGGCGAGTCTGGTTGTAGAACCCCAATCTCTTCTGGTTAAACCTCGAAGCAGTGAGTCGGGAGGTGACTCGGTGAGTTGAGCAGGATGGGAATCAGAGATCGTTGGACTCGACGAGTCTTGGGGTGACTCGGCGAGTTGAGTCGTGGTCTAAGAGTTTTTCAAAGTATAAGGACTTGACGAGTCAACGGGTTGACTCGGCGAGTAGAGTCAGTCATGAAGTTTGACTTTGGCCTGGACTTTGACTTTGACCTTCATGGGTGTTATGGTAATTGGTTATTTATGTCAATGGTCCATTGATGGCAATTGGTGTTGGGGTTTGGAGCAGTGCTTTGGGAGTGTGTTTTCGTGGTTCGGTTCTTTGTTTCAGGTGAGTTATCCTCACTGTACTCAAGGGTCTAAGGCACCAAGGCCGGCCCTTTGAATTGTTGTTTATAGCTTGTTATGCTTATGTGATGATATGCTTGCTAGTATCCTGGTAGATAGGATAATGATATGATGTTATGCTCTGTTAGCTTAGTATCCTGGAGGATAAGGTAGTTAAGTGATGGCAAGTTTTGTTGGATCAGCACCCTGGTAGTTGGGTAGTGGTTATATTCATAGACCTGGTCTTGCCTTATGTACGCTGGTAGGAGGTTACCTGCGGGATATGTATGTTGAGCAGTAGCAGAAGGCATTCCATCCTGGTAGGATGATAGGGCCCTAGTATGTTGGTTCTGTAGAGTGTTATGTGGTTGCCTGTTATGTGTGCATGTTTGCTAGTGTAAGGGCATTCCAACCCGATGGTTGTGGGCCAGGAGTATTCCATCCAGGTGGGATGATTGGACTCGTAGTAGGTTGGCATTCCAACCCGATGGTTGAGGGGCCTGGGGTATTCCATCCTGAGGGATGATGGGACCCATAGTAGTAGTTATTGTATGTATAGGAAGTGGGGCATTCCAACCCGATGGTTATGGGCCAGGAGTATTCCATCCAGGTGGGATGATTGGACTCGTAGTAGGTTGGCATTCCAATCCGATGGTTGAGGGGCCTGGGGTATTCCATCTTGCGAGATGATTGGACCCATAGTAGTTATTGTTGTACGTATAGGTGTATGGGCATTCCAACCCGATGGTTGTGGGCCGAGAGTATTCCATCCCGGTAGGATGATTGGGCTCGTAGTATGTAGGCATTCCAACCCGATGGTTGAGGGCCAGGGGTATTCCAACCGGAAGGTTGATTGGACCTATAGTATGTTGTTCTTTGTTGCATGCGTATGTTTATGTATGTATGGGTACTTTGGGGGAACTCACTAAGCTTTCGGGCTTACAGTTGCAGTTTATTGTTTCAGGTACTTCAGGAGATCGTGGCAAGGCGAAGGCGTGATCGTACCGCTCCTCATGTTTTATGATTTATGTGATATGGTTCTGGGGGATACTCTGATGTCTAAACTATTTTGAAAACAAGATGTATGAACTTAATGGTCTTTGAATGAAATAAAATGTTTTAAATTGGTTGAAATTTTTGGGTGTTACATTGATATACATTTATTATTACATTTATTGCAATTGTTACATTTGAATATTATGTGGAATTTAATAAAAGAGAAAAACCACAAAATACCAT